AAGAAGTTGCCACCTGCACCGCTGCTTGATACAATCTTATCCTTCACGAACGTCCTTGAACGTTCCTCAGGAGACGTCGGTGCAGCAATGACTGCGGCCCCCGCGCGGGCCAGCTCGCTTGCGACGAACGCAATCTTCTGCAAGTTCTCATGCCTTGCATCCAGCGTGAGGTCCAGCTTTTGACTCGAATCATCTATAGACTCTCCAAGGAGAGAAACACTCCGTCCGCCTTGTTCGTTCAAAGCTACCTGGAGTGCCTTTGCGATGGCATCCTTCCCGGAATTGTACAGCCCAGTAAGGAAGAGCACGAAACCCTGTTTGTTCCGTGGTGGATAACTTTCGCGCAGTTTTTCTACGACATCCCTAATGACAGAAAGTGAGTCCCATTTACTGGGTCATGCAGTCTGCACTTACTCGTAACTGAACCAGTCGGGAATGGCGACCCCAGTTTTAAGCCGTCTACGCAACTCTGTCCCCGATATGTCTAAAGTTTGCACATCAGCAGGGATCTCGTCTACCGGCATGTATTCGTCGGTAGCGGGTACGTAAGTCATCTGCTGGAATGGCACCATCTCGATCTGTAACTCATCCTTGAACCTTTCCACGAGCTCTTGGGCATCATAAGGACCGTAGAAATCTCTGCCTTGCGAGTTCTTACCGGGACCTGCATGGTCACGGCCAACAATGAAGTGCGTAGCGCCAAAGTTTTTTCTGATGATGGCATGCCAAAGAGCCTCACGTGGTCCCGCCATGCGCATGGCAAGAGGAAGAAGTGCGAGATGTGCCATCCCATTCGGGTATTTCGCCATGATAGCCTGGTAGACGCGCACACGCGTATAATGGTCAACATCTCCAGGTTTAGTGAGTCCAACAACGGGATGAATGAGAACATTTGCTTGTTGTTGTCTCGCTGCCCGCACGGTGAGCTCGCGGTGAGCACGGTGCATGGGATTGCGAGTTTGGAATGCGACTACCCTTCTCCATGATAGTTTCTTAAAGTGAGCACGGAGCTCAGCGGGGGTATCTGTAGACGAATAAGGAGGAAACCTAAACTGAACGGGTACGGGTACCTACAGCGGAAAGCAACATAGTCGAAATGTGCGGGTGCCTGTATAGCTTGCACCTTGCCCCCCACATAGTATTCTTTGGCGCGGTTACGGAGGTAAGCAACAGAGGGGTGGGCTGGGTCATCTGCACCGAAGACTTGAATTGCTTCCTTCACGCGGTCGTAGGTGTAGACGTCTTCCACTGTAAGGATTGCGAGTGCTTCGTCGTCTCTGGGGTCACGAAGTACTATACGGGCTGTAGGGCTTAGCCCTAAGCGTTTGATGTCGCCTGAGGATATGTCAAGGGTGATAGGCACTGGGAACAAGGTGCCGTCGGATAATCGTAAGGTATCAATGACGCTGAGGATGAATTTAATCGACGTTCACTAGGACACCGGCGAAAAGGGTACCTGTTATAGTCACATTCGTTCATAAAACCCTCGAGGGGACTGAAGCCACCGTTCAGGATGAGCTCCAGGTCGCATAGCTGACGCTATGTACGATAATATCAGCCGCTGACGGTGGATGGATCGGACAACAAGGTGCACCTCGGTGAGAGTGAGGTCCCCAAGAGTAGCAGCTTCTGCCTTGAGGTGCTCGGATATGTGCTCGTCCCGAGCGACAAGATCCTAGCACAAGTTAATCGCGGACGACCCGTATGAGCAAACGAGGAGATACCTTGAGTACTCCGCCGTGAGGTGTATTGGCCATGTCTGGCTGTCAAATCCGACTCTTTAGCCCAGGCTCGGAGGTTCCTGTCGCATCGAGTATCCTCGTCATGGCTTTATCATGCAAACTGTACTTCCAATTAGGCAGGATCACGCAATAGTTAGCAAAGTCATGTGCCTACTCGTAGTCATTCTAATCGGATTTTGTCGGGTCAGTCCCCTGCGAGTGAAGTTTCCCCGGATGCAAGTTCCTGTACCAATTTCCCTCCCTATAACATATTGTCTGAGGTGTGGTACAATACTCCGCTCAAGAAACAAAGCGGCTACTATTATACGAGTGGTAACCAACAACTTACTGCCTAGTTGTCACTTCCCAAAACCGTGCGACATGTGCTCTCTCAGCCCTGTGACTGTTTGGCTGATTCAGAACTCGCGACCCGGAATAGAACAGCCCCTTTGGCTACACAGTCCTTTTTACAAAGAAGGTCGAAAGTTTAGCCATTCCATCAACATTTGCTTTCTTCAACTTTCCTACACCTTGAGAGGGTTTTGGTTCCTTCTTTCGTTTTACGCTATTTCCCTCAGAGACTGTCGAGGTCCTTTTTCTGTCCTTCTTGGCGGTCATATCACCGGGAGGAGACGGGTCCAAATGGTGCCGCTGTAGGCCTCTGACGTGGCTTTCGAGCGGTGCAAAACTAATGAATCGTGTCGCTGAGCCCTGCCGGCGAGGTCCATTACTGAAGGACGTACTCGTAAGATGCCATCAACCCCTTCCGGATGTTCGGAGGAAGATATTGTGCCAGAAGGTCGCAAGCCAGCTGCGTCCTTCCCACTGCGAAATTACAGACATCAACTGACGGCGATGGTCATAGGGCCCGGCACCCACAGGTTAGCAATTCTTCGTGTTCATCCTCCATAAGCGCATTCTTTGCAAGGCCACGGATTAACGAGCGTGACATCTCGGTAATTCGAGGTGTTGCTAGCGCTGCGACCTTTTTCGTCAGTTGCTCCATAAGTCTCTCCTGCGAATACCTGAAAACCGTGATCTCGGCCGTGATTTCTGGGACGCTGCAATCAGCCCGCACGTTGAATCATGCGGCGCGTCCATTCACCTTTGATGTCGCATATATGTCTCATCGCGTGTACTGTACAATCAAGTGCACCGAATGTCATAATATCGTCAGGTGCGACAATGAGGGAAGGATCTTGTGACCCAGATGAATGTGATGCCTCCGCCAGTCTCGTGGCAGCTTCTTCCAATATATCGTCTGCTGGACGGAAGTTGGCCTGTTCGCCTTCCTGCTTCAACCAAGGATCAGTGGAGTCCACCAGACAAATCGTTTTGATCTACCGAAACGGTCGCTCCAAGTATCGGTATCAGCAGGAATATTGGATCGAATGGGTGTCATGACAAGCAGCCTCCCGTCTAGAGGAGACTCCAGTTGAGCTAGCTGCGATATTGGAGGTCAGCTCACCAGAAACAACTTCTTCTCTCATAAACCAAGAGCGGGCACCGGGTGGTGCGACCGTCTGAACCTCGAGAATCGTTGATGACCGCACCTCACTCCCATTACCTCCACCTTCTTGGAGTTGATAAGTCAGGAATAGCGATGGGAGACCTGAGTGACTAAGTTAAAGGAAAAGCCAGCGTCAGTGTACACGTGATCATACATACCTGTCCTTGGATGCGGAAGGCGCAAAAAACGTGGAGGACGCGACGGCTGTCTGGAGTGATCGATCTGCAATATGACGGAGTCTATAACATCTAAGAAGTTCCCCGTCAAACTGTAGTGGTTCTTACAGAGACAAACTGAAATACCTGTTGGAAGAACAGCAAAGTGCGTGTCCATGCCTCGTCGGTGCTTAGATTTGTGAGTGATCGACTGAACGCCAACTGAGACGCGTTGTTTGCGCGTTGTTTGTCATTCCCACAACTCCTCAGACTTGCAAATGCGGATTAGGGTCGCTCACTTTGTTTGAAACGCTCACCTACCATGGGACCACGTGTGGCTTGAAGGTAAGAATAATATACTTTCCAGGTTACATTTGAGGTGCGCATTACTGTTCAGAGGCAATCATCATGTACTTGTCGACGTTGCAATAATTCAGGCTTTGTAGTTTCAATGACATTTATACCCAGAAGCGCTGTCGCAGTTGCATTGCAAGAAACTTGTACCATTGTTTATAATTGCCTGTGCATGCATTATCAGACCACCTTGCCCCAGGTAGCATTGGATGCCGCCTGGCTGCCCGCCCTCGTTTCTAGTGACGTTCCTCGGCCCAGAGTACATACCCTGAGTTCCTGATCGGGTTGCTGATGCTATCCTCGTGACTTGGGCTAACTTCACTGATAAGGTGGAGACTCGACTTTCATTCAAATACCCCTTGTTTTGCCTCATACCAACGCAAGGTACGCGTTTAGTATGTCTATATATTTGATCATGAGGTAATGCCAGAGGGTGTAGAGACTGTCCACTGCTCGGCCAAGCACGATTGATTCGTTCAAATTTATGCCCTGAATGATCGATGATCCTTCTGACTCCGCTCCCTAACGAGTACAGCGAGCTTTTCAACGGAGGTAGCAAAATCACGGTGATTCGGTAATCGGAGCTCCAAAGCATATGTGGCAAGACAACTAGCGTCACCCAGGTTGATTGTCGCAGGCTGTTCCCCAATCTCGTCCCAAAAGTATAGGGAGAGTGCATGGAATGAAGAAGCGTTACTTGTTGGACGGAGTGCCAATGCAGCTCAGGGAACGAACCTTCCTCCACTCGACCTGGACATCAAAGTTTATTGCCCAAAATTGTCCGGAGAGCGCGACTGCTGGCTACGAAGACATATTGATGGGTACGATGGGGGGTGCCCCGGTAGACGGAGCTCCATTCCTGCGTGACTGAGTATGAGAGCTTCCAAGTCAGTAACCCACAGGTAATCTGTGGAGAAATGCCGACGGCCTGGTGGACAGAGCTCTAGCGCTGCACGTTTGAGAACTTCTTCCAAGCCAGCGATTATTCCCTGACCGGTCATATCTGTTCAAAAAGAATAAGAGAACAAGGCCGCGATGTCCAGGGCGACGCAGTGCAGATGCTGCCCAGTGCAATGCTTCGTCTACGTTGCACACCGCAGCTTGTTTCTTGGACCTCTCCGGAAGGTCAGAAACAAGGATACTCCACGATCACGATGGCCCAGTAGACAGAGTCTGGGCCGCCAGTGCTGCCACGCCTGAACGCGACAGATTACGCGGTAAAAGGCTGCACTTACATCGAAAAGCTGTCTGACTTGTTGACCGACCTTAGCTCAGTTGGAAGAGCGCGAGACTGTAATGGATAACCTTTGACATCTTGAGGTCGCCTGTTCGAGCCAGGCAGGTCGGACTTCCAGCTTTTTTTTTGGGATGTTCCCGTGAATGCTATTACCATAAATGGCATGTCTGATTAATAACTTCGTGTCCACTCATAACTCGTTCTTTCTCGACTGTCATGGCGTCGGCATCTGGTGAGTGCAAGCAGCATACGAATTACTTGCGTTTGACTGAACCCGCACCAGCTATAGGGAAACTCTCGCGGGAGGAATTTCGCCGCCAGAAGGATTTGGAGGCTGCACGAAAGGCCGGTACAGCCCCCGCAGCCCTCGACGAGGAAGGCAAGCCCATCAATCCTCACATTCCCCGTGGGTACTTGTTCTCTTTGTCATAAGTCGTACTCAATCTATTTCTTTCCAGAGTATATCTCGCAAGCGCCATGGTATCTGGACACGGGGGCTCCCTCACTTAGCCATCAACGTCGGCCGGCCGCTACCAAACCGCCCAACGAGATCGACGGCTGGTATGACCGTGGTGCTCGGGCAGGCCCTGCTGCTAAGAAGTACCGAAAGGGAGCCTGTGAGAATTGCGGCGCAATGACGCACAAGAAACAGGATTGTCTCGAGCGTCCACGGAAGAAAGGTGCCAAGTTCACGAACAAGGACATTCAGGCAGATGAGATTATTCAAGAAGTACACACCGGATATGACGCGAAAAGAGATAGATGGAACGGGTATGACCCAACAGAACATACGAGGATTTATGAGGAGTTCGAAGCTCTCGAAGAAGCACGGAAAAAATACAGGGAAGAGGAGATCGACAAACAAACAGCGACCGACCTTGCCGCTGCAAGAAAGGTTGCAAAGGCGGGGAAGGAGAAGAAGGATGCGGATCCTGACTTTGGTTCCAGTGATGAAGAAGACGCGGACGAGGACAAGTACGCCGATGCTGCCGATGCAGTCGGACAGAAACTGGACACAAAAACTCGGATTACTGTTCGAAATCTGCGCATACGGGAAGATACCGCCAAGTACCTGATCAACCTCGATCCGGAGAGTGCCTACTACGACCCAAAGACGCGTTCCATGCGCGATGCTCCTCTGAAAAATGTCCCAGCGGAAGAGGTATGTGGATGATACTTTGCCCATTGTATCTTAAGCTTCATTGCAGTTAGGCCAAATTTGCCGGAGAGAACTTCTTTCGGTATTCTGGAGAAGCGCCCCAAGTCCAGCAGCTTCAGCTCTTCGCATGGCAAGCTGCGCAGAGAGGGAACGATGTTCATCTCAATGCCGCTCCTACACAAGGTCAACTGCTGCATGAAGAGTTTGAAGAGAAGAAGGAAAAGATGAGGGATATCAATAAAGTCAGCGTACTTGCAAAATACGGCGGAGAGCAATATTTGGAACGCGCACCAAGAGAGGTGTCGGACAGTCAATCTGAATATTATGTCGAGTATTCTCGGACTGGTCAAGTTATCAAAGGGAAAGAGCGAGTGAAAGCTCGCTCTAAATATGCCGAAGATGGTAAGCACTACAACCTGCAGCTTCCTTCCCGATGTCTAATACATGTTACGTGTAGTCTACATCAACAATCACACAGCGGTTTGGGGGTCGTGGTACGACGTTGCAAGTGGGAGCTGGGGCTACGCTTGCTGTCATTCGAGCACCCATGTGTCGTATTGTTCAGGCGAGGCAGGAAAGCTGGCCGCTCAAGCATCGACTGCACAAGCTTTACTCGCATCATCATCATCATCATCGCGATTGGATAACTCTTCAGCCCCCGACGAGCAGATGGAAGCATCAAATGCACCAACAGAACAGAATTACTCGAAGAAACGAGTTGGGGAGGGTGACGTTACTTTAGACAAAGAACGCTTAGCCCAGGCCTTAGCTGAGGAAAAAAAGAGGAAGACGTGGGGGGGTGATGGGGATCGTTGCAACAAAAGGAAGAGAGGAGAGATCGGCACTCATGATGTGACGGAGGAGGAGCTTGGTGAGTTTCATGTCCAGGTTCTTACAAACCCAACTGACCCAGTACTGTTTCGTTTGCAGAGGCGTATCGAATGACCCGCCTCAAAGGAGACGACCCGATGGCAAGCTATGTGGACGAAGGGGATGTATACTAGTCATGGGATTGTCTTGGCTTTCCAATTCTCCGCATTCATCCCACTATATGTTACCTCGTTTCATGTATATGTACTGTATTAATTGCTCCTCGAAGACGCCGTTTCCATTGGCATTGGGCATTGATTACGCTGTTTGGTCACCAGTTTGTGTTCGTTCTCACCCTGAATTATGGGCCCCGTGCATCCATTGTTGGACGATGAACACAAGTTGTCTCTAACTTGACTCCATGTTTTCGACAGCGGCTGCCCTACTCATTGGCCTGGGCACCCGCATTGCCTTAGATAAATTTTCGGGGACTGTCCCCGACGATCCCAGCTCACCCCAATCTCTTGGAGACGTCATCCTCCTGGGTGTCGTCCAAGGCGTGGGCCTGTACTATGCCTTAATGGAATTCCCCGACTTCGCGCTGGTAGTCGCATTTGCGATCGCGGGCCGTCTGGCCTTTGAAGTCATGGTGATCCAGGACCTTGGCAAGTGTGCGACGACATTACTGGGCGTCGCGTTGGGCGTGCTGGTCACGGACGTATTGTCTCAGCTCATAGAAGATGGGTACCTCTTTGACTTCGCAGAGGATGGAGGCAGCGAGTACGAGGAATCCCGTACCGTCATCAAACGCAAGCGTTTGGTTAAATTCCGGCCATCCACCGAATATTCTTCTGTTCCTCCAAGCAAACCTTCACGCCCTCGCAAACGAGATCCCGAGCGAAAGTGGCGCACGGCATCATCCATTACATCCATCACCTCCTCCAACTCTGATACTGTTGATCCTGGTCGTATCATGGACCCTCTGGAACGCGAAGTTGCTACGTTGCGTGCGCGAGCATCCCTTGCAGACAGCGAGCGCCGGCGCTTCAAAGAAGAGAAGAAGTGGGCATTATCGCAGGGAAACACAGCTCGGGCAGCGCAGATGAGTTGGCAGGTAAAGAGGTACACCGCCTTGACGAAGAGTTTCACCAGAGAAGCAGATGCACGGCTGCTGGAAGGTGGGGTCATTCCTTGTCTCGGACCCCCTTGGCTCATGTCCAGATCGCATGGTTAGTCAATGCAATCAAGGTAGCTCGTCAACAACAGAATGATGCCACTCCATCAGTCATTCAGAATGTTGAGAGGGGTCAGTCTGAGCGACACACCAATCACGCGCGGCACTCTTCCCAGGAAGTTATCGTCGAGCGCGATTCTACGGGCGTAGTTAATGTGACTCGACCTAGACATCCCAGCCAAAGTTCTTCCGGAAACCTGAAATCTGCTATGCGTGTACAACCAAGATAACGTTGCCCGGCAGGCGAGTTCCATACCCGTTTTCTTCTTGGGCTCTCCGGGAATCTTAATCGGCGTAACAGAGTCATTTGTAACGTTTAAGTGCTAAATCATCTGTTGAAATTACGACAATTACTCTGGACGGAGTACAATGATATGATCCAACCAAACAGACATACAAATGGTGTGATCCGTGCTAATGTTGATATTAGCAAACTACGAGTACAGGAGAGAACGAAATGTGAATTAGGACGGCTTCAAATTAATGCAGGTTCGACGTAATACAACATAAAGAACGCAGAGCTCCAAAATTTCACGGACGGTCAGATAGAGGGGAGAACAAGGTCACTATACATATGCACGAAAGTTATCCTACCGATGTGACTTGCCATTGGTCTTCATGGCCACGTTAGAAGGCGACAATGACTTGCCACTGGTAGTCGGACGAGGCTTCTTGCTTGCGTTTGTGGCGTCAGATGAGGGCCGGGGTGCAGCTTCTTTCATGACCATTTTGGCATGGATTTCCTCTAGCTTGGATGCTTTGACTTTCTTCGGCCAGAAGAGAGTGACAAAACTAAGACACTGTTTCAGGCCACATTAATAAGGAGATATTATGCGAAAACTCACCTCCACAAGTGTCGCTTCCACCTCTCGGAATCTTCTCCGGCAGCCTGTTTGGCTTGCAGAACCGCATCAATCCGTCGCCCGATTGCAGCTAGGGAGTCCTTCAGTATCGCAACCTTATCGTCTCGGGGCATGTCTTCTCCTGACAATTTGAGCTGCTTCTATGAGAGTGTCAGGAACATCCATCCTCCGACCGATCATCAATTGCCTACTAGTTGTTTCTTTACCGGCCGCAACTCCTCCTTGGTAGCAACTTCATCCATAGACGGGCTGGCGACAACCTCTCAGTACACCGTCTGACCAATTAGACTGCACTTACCATTCGTCCGACGACTCAGAGTCTGTAAATGTAGGTGTAGGTCTCCGTTTGCGTCTCTTTGTTGTCGTCGTCGTGCTGTCGTCAACAGAAGCAATAGCCTCGCTTTCCGCTCGTCTCTTTCTGTTACTGATAGACGACGAGGCCAACACTACGGGAGGAGGCGTAGCAGAGACTTTGACCCCTTTATTGCGCAACGAACTTTCATATGAGCGGAATTTCTCGTCATATTCACGGAGAAGCCCCAGGAGGAAGTCACCTCGTCGGACGAGATGAATGGCATTGGGAATCGGTCGCGAAGAGGAGTCCTCGCCTTTCTTCCCTTCTTCCAGGAAGAATTTGCCCTCTAGCCCTAAGCGTTCGTCCTTCGCCATTGCCTCCCAGTTTCCAAACCCGTAGAGGTGAGCGCCAACAAGAAGCATAGAATCTTCCTGAGAGCCCCAACGACCAGACCAGTTCAGGACTGGCCGTATGTTGTCAATTGGGATGGCCCAATTGTAGAGCTCTTCGGGACTGAGATCGGCCAGAATATTGTTCAGGACACGTAAGTCTCGGTATCTCGAGAGAACTGTCTCCGCGTTGATATTGCCCACGTTTCTATAAGTCACCAACACGGCTTTGCTCTTTTGGGCATTCGTCAATGCTTCTCCGGCTGCCATGCGACTTCGTTTCTGCTGGTTGTTCTCCTCCACTGCACGAGAACAAAGGTCAATAATTTCATCCGCAACGTCGATAATCATGGCTTTGTGC